AGTAACATGAGAGCTAGTAATCTGCCCTTAGTAAACATGGCCACTGTCAGAAGACTGGGGAAGAAAAGAGAAATAAGACATGCAAAGAATACAAATTATCTAGAATATTTGTAGATTGTCATTACTAAACATTTCTAAAGGTGTGTTTGTTGTTATTTTAAAGATGTGGGTAAAGGTCCACTTTAAAACTGCATGTGCCTGGGAAATGGTGACAAACTTTGGTACCCAAAATTGTTCATAATTGATGCTTTAAAAGCCTTTAATCACAAAAGCCTTTATCATCAGTTTAGAGCTAACTGCGTGCATTATGATATTAAAACTTGTAGAGTAATCTAGCTAATAGCCCCCTATGTGATAGAACATTTTAGGTGGCAGGTTCTCTTTAAGGAGATAATAGGACTCCACATCAAGCACAGATGGCAAGGAATAACAGCTCTGAAACCAGAAATGATTAATCATCACTTCTGGGTTCATTCACTGGAGGGGAGCTCAGCAAACCTACCATGCTGGTCCCAGGTCCACAGGAGGGGTAGTTGATACATGGTGGGGGAAAGTTGGGCCAATTGAAGCGATCACTTCTAACACAAAGTTGACAGTTGGCTTGTGTGGATTAAACTGCTATATCAGTTGGGAGTGCTGTTTAAAAGTCCACTTTGCCACCTCCATATACAATACAGCAGTAGCAGCAAAAGGTTCAACAAGACAGAGAACCTGACATACCATGGCAGACAGAGCAGGATACGAGAGGGGGGTTGCAAAACCCCTCCCTGGCTTCACTCAACATCAGTTGTAAACCAGATTTGAACTCTGTCCTAACAAAGGGTTAAAGACTTAAAGGCATTGTATGTTAATAAGACAAAGCTCAGTCTGTCCTCCAGTTTGTCCCTCTGCTTTCACTTTCAAGCTGCTTACAAATATACTGAAGCTGTCACACATCAGCACTATGGATGGAGAACTGAGCAAACACATAGAGGTCTATTCACGAAGCAGCCGAAGGATCTAGCCGTAGCTTCGGCCGATCCTTTGGCGGGCTTAGGCCCCAGGACCCCTTGGGTTCAGTAGAACCAAAGGGCTGCTGTACGGGCTATTCACAATAGCCCGTACAGCTCCCTAACTGAGCCGCGCTCAAAGCCGAAGCTGGCCCGTAGCCAGCCGTGATCTTTCAGCTGGCTCCTGCCACTTGCAGAGAGATCAGCGCCCCTGGTTATCACTGATCTCCAAACAGCAAACTCTCCCGTGTGCTCCGGGAGTCTCCCGCTCCCGGCCGCCAAGGAGAGAAACACTGCTTTTTCTTTTTTTTTTTAAACTAGCATTGCGCCCGCCCTCTGCTGATAGACCTGATGGAGAACTGCAGAAGAGGGTGGGTGCAATGCTAGTTTACTATTGGCTATTGCAAATTGAAATAGCCAATAGGAATCTTGGAATGCATTCCAATGGGCAAACATTTCTATTTTATTTTTTCTATTCTGACACGGAGCCGAAGAAAAAATAAATAAAAATCAGTGTTTCTCTCCTGGGCAGCCGGGAGAGGGAGACTCCCAGAGTGCCCGGGAGAGGTTTTTTTTTCGTTTTTTTTTACGGCAACAGAACCGCCGGCCAATAGAAAACAGCTGACCACTCAGTTCCTGATCTTCTTCCTGCAGGGATTCCCCCTTCCTCTTTCCATTCCTCCAGTGCTGACTGCAGGGATGGATGGGGGAGGGTGCAGGCACAGCTGGCCCTACCCCTATATAGCCCACTATATGCTGAGTTTTGGGTCCTCCTTTTAAAAAAGGGAACGTGACATTTTAATGTTTAGTTTTGGATACGTTTTACTTATTTAATTTACCTACTAGATTATGTAGTAAATTTAGTTATGGCAAACATCAAAATATTTTGATTAGCATGTATACAGTTACTGTATTTAAATCACACTGAATTATACACATAAAGCTAAGGCACTTGACAGTTGAGAATCACACTACTAGAATAAATAGAAAAGTTATGAAGGATGGTATCTGAAATAGAATGACTATTCATTTAGTAATTCTAGCTCATTTCTTGAGCATATGGTCATGTAATCCCTACTGCGTTCATCTTCACTCACCCAGCAGGAATGAATATAGTGATGTTTTCAGAGCAGCCATTTGTTGTAGTTTTCTGTAGCTATGTTCGGTAATACATTGCAAATGTTCTAGGAGGTGATGGGATGAATAAGTCTATAATGGTTCTGTCTGTTGCCCATTTCGTACAACCTTTTACATTATTCTTCATAAGTGGAAGTTTTTTAGTGTAAATAACCAATGAAGCTGTGGCTGCAGCTAAATATTCACCTGGTATATTTATGACTGGTATCCAGATTTCCTTTTACTATGAAAAGGTGTTGAGCATTTTATCAAAAACAAACTCTAATTAATCTACAAACTTCCTGCATTCACTAAGCTATCATATGTGAATGTAAAGAAAGTAAAAAAAAGTATGACTTATAACTATGACAGGTAGGAGCTGGTCTTGTAGCAACTAAACCACACAAGTCCCAGAATGCTAAGTACTGATTTGTACTAACTGTAGGAAAATATTGAAAACTGAAAAATATTGAATCTTAAAATAGATTTAAATCCTAACTGGATGACATTTTGTTTGCTGAAGCACTGTTTATCATAAAGAGTTGCCATGTTTAAGGTTTTAGTGATGCAATATTGTTTTTACCTTTTTTATGTTTATATCCTAATGCTGCTGTTCTCTTCAGGCCTCTTTCTGCCACTTCCTGCCTATATGCACTCAATCCAGCATCAGTGCTCTGTGCTTGCATCCTAAAGGTCGCCATACACCATACGGCCATTGTACAACTTTTTTTGTCCAGGCATCTCAGACCAATATAGTTCGCAATTAACGCTTGTCAGCACCACCAGCTGGCCGATTTTTATCGATCGAAAGGACAAATTTTCGCTTGAGCATGTGCAGTTTTCATCTTGAGATTTTTGTTGTACAACTACGCTACTAGCCTGTCAATTGTCGTCTAACTAGACCAGGGGTAGCAAAACTCTAGCCCTCCAGCTCTATTGAAATGACAAATCCCATGATGCATCTCTCTCTCCGGGAGTCATGTGTGTGGCTGTGAGAATCTTGCAATGCCTCATGGAATTTGTAGTTCCACCACAGCTGGTGGGCCGCAGTTTGACTACCCCTGAACTAGACAAAAGTTTTCTAGCCTGCTTGAAAGACAAAAATCTGCCAGTTGTACAGTAATTGAGGTTGTGCACTTTCCATCAACTGGCAGATATTCGCATGAAAACACAATCGCAGACAAGAATCTCCAGATAATTGTAAAGTGTATGGGCACCTTTAGTGGCATAGTTGTACAATAAAAATCTCAAGATGAAAACTGCACATGCTTAAGTGAAAATTTGTCCTTTCGATCGACGAAAATTGGCCAGGTGGTGGTGCTGATGAACGTTAATTGGAAACTACATTGGTCTGTGCATGATGGGCTAGTTGTTAGAAAGGTGGCCATACACTTTACAACCATCTCAAGCCTTAGTCTTGCGATGGTTGTAAAGTAATTAAAAAAACTTACAATCTGCCCATCTTGGACAGGCAGATCGTACTCTCGATCATCGCAAGCCCGCCCCCCTCATGGGCGGGCTTCCGGTGACCGCAATGCTGAACGGGCAGTGTGCGCGTGCGCACACCAGCCCGTTCGGCATTTGTCTCCCGAGCACCGTTCAAACCAGCTGAAAATCGTACGATCTGGACAAAAAAAGTTGTACAATGGTTGTAAGGTATATGGCCACCTTAATAATGGGTGTTGACACAGGGATGTATGTGACAGGGTGATAACCCAAGAGCACAACTGGTAGACAGTTGTCACCCTAAAACAAGAAAAGCTTGAACAAGGAATTTCATGGAAGAATTACCAAGTATTATTTTTTTGAAAACTGCACCAAATGCCCACTGAATGTTACAACTTTTCAGATAATGCAACTAAAACCTTAAACAAGTTATACCATCTCTGAGTCATTGTTCAGTATATTCCACAATTAAAAACATACAGTAAATGTTATTTTCTGCATTGAGGGAAGGCTAGGGATTGTGCTACTTCTTTTTTGCTTACCTGCTGACAGCAAGTGAACATCTTTGGGGTCATTGAGCAAGATACCTATACATTTAACATGGTAGTTAACAAGCACACTACATTACATTTATAAAGATAGACCTTCTGAAGACTGTAGCATTTTGCAAATATACCATAACTCTGCTTGTAAAAATGAAGAAGCGCACACATGCTATAGACTCCGCTTCAAAAACCAAAACCCATAATTATAGCAATGAAGAAGCTCTTACATGCTATACATAACTGCTTCCAGTATTCAATTACACCAAACAGGGTCCATTTTTAGAGATCTAGTATTGACCATAGATAATTTATTTTGTTACCAGAGCTGTATTTGAGGACTGAATCTGAGAAAACATTCTATAGATAACATTATTTCAATATTGTAAATACAACCCAAATTAGGGCATTATTTTGATGTAATATAGCCTCTTTGTTAGTTTCACCCCCACTAATCTTGAACAGAGAAAATATAGCAGATTCCTCTATCCACATTTATGAGCGTGGATGGAGGAATCCCCTGCTGTTTTTATTGTATTCTCAAAGTGGCTGCTGAATGGAGCTTGCAGCTTATTGGCTGCAAGCTCTGTTCAGCTAAACCGAGGCACATACTACGCAAATTTCATCAAGAACCAGCCAAATTTTGCAAAGTGTATGGCCAGCTTTATCCTAACCTAATTATCAGTTCCTATTGAAAGAGCTGTTTCAGCTAGCCTGTGATGGCTTACAACAACTAAAGAGATTTAAACCTGGAAATTGAATATCTGAACCTGATTGGATGTTTTAGGACAAGTCAGACTGTATGAAATAGTTCTCCCTCAAGCACTCTGCTTAATAAAATCTATTGTTTAATCTGAAATTTTCACTGCATGGATACATACATTAATGCCAAAAAGAATACACTTACTGTTTTATTCTTATTATAGAGTTTAAATGTTTCTGTTGCTTTATCCTCCCCTCCATCAGTAAACAACATGATGATCTTATTACAGTTTGCTCTTGATACATTAGTCTGCAAAGAAATCAACGCAATTTTTTAAATTAAAAAATAGAAAAAAATATATACCGTAGATTATGTTAGATTATATTTATATAAACTTTATTAGTCTTTACAAACATTTAACACAGAAAACATTAGGACTTATTAAATGTGTGGTCTTAAAAGGATCAGTGCAAACAAAAGTGATATCTCAGTGATACATAGGGGCAGTCTTTTCAATAGTCAAATCAACCATAATACATAGTTACATAGTTGGTCAGGTAAAAAAAAGACACATGTTCATTACATAGTTACACACATCGTATTTGAGGTTGAATAAAGACATAAGTCGAGTACTATATGTCCCCAGTTATAAATGAATGAACAGGATGTGATTTACATCACGTCCCGTTCATTAATGAGTTTCTCAATGGGGAGAAGCACTCTGTACAGAGGCTCCTCCCCATTCAGAAACTGCTTGATAGTAAATATTTTCTGAATGAATGGGAAGCCACTGTGCTTTCCATTCATTTAGAATAGATGCTGCAGAAAAAAAGATTGAGGACTATGTGTCCTCAATTTCTTTTTCTATTTTAGAAGGGAAATATCAGGGGGCTTTTTAGACCCCTAATATTTCCCCGATCTTTAACTACCGAGCTTCTTGGATGTCACTGGGCGTGTATACGCGTCCTGCTACATACGCCCGCTCGGGCGTATGTAGCAGGACGTAAATGGCAGCAATGCCGTAAATGGCAGCAATGCCGTTAATATACAAGCGCTCGCTTGTATGAGGTCCCATGACGTGCGCCCCCTCCGCGGCTCAGGGGGGTCCTAGGTGACATTATGGGTCTTGGAGACCCCTGATGTCTCCATAAAGAGGACATGTCACCTCTTTTGCTATCACATAGAGGGGTTTCTCAGCCCAATCTGTGATAGCAATAGTTAAGTTAAAAAAGTTAATAGTTAAGTTAAAAAAGTTAAGTGGAAAAAAAAAATTGAAAAAAAAATTAAAGTTACACATAAAAAATAATACATTTTTTTTTATAGTCCCCACCCCTACATACACGCATGTAAACATGCATCAGGTGCGCATACCTGCGAAAACGACGATTGCGCCCATTACGCCGCACATGTTACATATCGCCGCAAACGTCAGAATGAGAGCAATAGTTCTAGGGCCATCAATCACTGATAACACTAAACTGATGAGCTGTAAAAGCTTTTAAAGCGTCGCCTATGGCCAATTTTGGGTATGCTAGTTTTTTGCGAGTGCGCGCAATTTTTAAGCTTGACATGTTTGGTGTCTACCCGACGTGACCCCGTCTTTTATATTTTACCAAAAAAGTGAGTAATATTAGCTGTTTTATAACATAATGTAAAAAATACTTTTTTTTCAAAATTTTCAGTAATTTCTCCTGAATATAGTAAAAAATAAAACCCCCAGTGGTGATCAAATACCAACAAAAGAAAGCTCTATCTGTCCCCAAAAAATGGTATAAAATTAATTTCAGTACAGCGTTGCATGACAGAATAAATGTCAGTCAAAGTACTGCAGCGCTGAACACTGAAAAATGGCCTGGCCAGGAAGGAGGTGATACACCCCGGTCTTCAAGTGGTTAATACCACAAAATGCATGTACAACAGAGCAACTCAATTGCATAGTGAAACCAAATCACATCTTTGTACACCAGTATACCTTGTATAACAAACTCCTCAGATGTAAGAATTTGCTTACTTTGTAGATCACATTAGTCTCTTTAGTGACTTTAATTTCCACGCTTTTGACCCTGGCAATCACAGAAAAGCTCAGTTTGTTTTAAACACATGTACAGAAAAAAAAGATAAAGATGGAAAAAAATACCTAAGTTACAATCCCTTGTAAATATTTCCATTTAGTTCACATTTACTAAGCTCATTTGAGATTATTTACTCATATCCTAGAAAACATTATAAACATTTCCTATAATATAATTATTGCATATTTCAAAACCACTGTATATCCTGCTTCTCCATATGCTTGTTTTATGGCTTAATGAAAAGTAATATTTCTGGTCTTCAAGCGGTTAAGCCAGCTTTCTATCCAAATACAGACTTAATGCTCTATACCCTCAGACCTTAACTTATACATTAGCCGCCTCTGGGAATCTGTGCCAAACGCTTTTGCAAAGTCCAAGTATACTATATCCACAGACATTCCTTTGTCTAATTTATTGCTTACTACCTTATAAAAAGAAAGTAGATCTGTTTGACAACTTCTGTCTTTTGTGAATACATGCTGATAGATCATTTATAATATTATTTTCAAACAAAAGCATGTGCATGTGATCCTTTATCAAACTTTCAAGCATCTTCCCAACTATTGAAGTTAAGCTTACAGATCTGTAATTACTTAGTACGGACTTTGATCCCATTTTAAATATAGGCAGCACATTGGCCTTGCACCAATCCATTGGTACCAAGCCATTTATTAGAGAGTCTTTAAATTAGATACAATGGATTAAATGATACAGTTCAATCCTTTGAGGACATGTGGGTGTAAGCCATCTGGCCCGGGTGCCTTATTCACCTTAATTTTGTTTAATTGTTTCTGGACCATATCAATTGTGAACCATTGTGAGGCTGTGTCACTGTCATCCCCATTATGGACTTGAGGCTTAAGGACTCCACCATCTTCCTTGGTGTACACAGAGCTGAAGAAAGTATTTAATAGATTGGCCTCCTCTTTGTCTCAAGTTACCAACTTTGAGTTATCTTGTAAGGGGCCTACTCAGGCCTGATCTTTTTTCTATTAATATATTTAAAGAATTTGGGGGGCTTTGTCTTGCACTCTTTTGCAACCTGTGCTTTGTTTTGAATCTTTGAGATCTTGAGTCCCACTGAGTCTGGTGGGCTCACTCACCAACTAGCTTCTTGCACCTATGGGGACTCCAATGACAAGACCTTCATTCCACAGTCCTTGACTCTTTTCCCACCCACCAAGCCAAAGTTATATGTAAACCTTAACTAAACAAACTTAGATCATCACTTCCAGAGTGTCCTTATTAGTTGTATTAGAAGGCCAACAGGGAGGCAAGCTTAAGGGTGGTGTGGGGTCAAGCTCAACTTTTACACTAAACATCCAGATTTTCATATAACTTCTGCTGCCTAAACCTCAGGATCTATACTTTTCATTGTGATGTTTGGCTTTTCAAAGAAAGCAATTTTGTATTTCCTTTGTTTGAATAAGCCAGGTTCCTGCAGAATTACTTTAAAGATTTTTTTGTGAAAAAAAGACTTGTTGCTCGACACATTTAAAAGAAAAACAAAACAATGAAATGGCAATCTACCCACACACAGTTGGATATTCATTTTCATAATTATCTGATTATCTGCAAAAATAACCATCTATTTCTCTAATAAACGCCAACCACGGTTTCCCTTTTATGTCATAGTTTTTAACAAGGGAGCCTGACTGACTGTTGGACAACACCTCCAGTTCTTATTACTGATGGTTTAATACGGGACCCAAATAAGTTGATCAGCCAGTTTATAATTAAACCATTATCCATGAAGGCTGCTGATTGTCTACTACTTGTGTCTGAGTAAAAACAATGCATATGATATAAATATTGTAATTCTTGCTAAAAATTGTTTAATATATATAGTATATCGTAATGATAACTCAAATACAACCAAGGCTACATTCCATAGAAAGCACCACCCTAGACAACTTTAAAGTTGGCATTCTTATGAGTAATATGTATGCACACTTCAAAATATTTTGTATAAAATGTGCCTTATATAAAATAATATATTATAATATATAATAGCAA